ACAATTATACACACACATGTATATATATATGTCTGTGTTATAATTTTCTATTTAGCTACAGGGCCTGAGTAGTAAGTACGTCGCACATATCTCGACCGCAAGACCTGGGATTGGACATCGCTGAGTTGTGACGGAACAGGGAAAGGAGAAGAAGGACAAGAAGGAGAAGAAAGAAAAGAAGGAGGGGTTTAGGGCTTAAAATTTAGGGATGTTTAGGGTTTAGGGTCTGGGGCTTCAGGGTTTCTGTGTCATAGTTTACGGGTTCATGCGTTGTAGGGCTGAAAAGGCCGTGCTCCCTAAACCCTAAACCCTAAACCAGAAACCCTGAACCCTAAACACTACTCCCCTAAACCCTAAACCCGAAAGCCAACCCTTGTCTCTCCGAACGCGAAACCCCGGCAAAGCGATGACTCCTCGCCCACTCCACTCTCGAACCTCTCTGTCAAGCTAGAGCCCTAAACCCTAAACTTGGGATGTTCCCCCTTATGCTAACAGTCCTTAGTTGGGATTGTAGCACCCCCCCCCCCCCCCCCCCCCCCCCCCCCACCCCACCCAGTATCATCCCGTTAGTATATGGGGGAACATCCCCACCCTAAACCCTCAACCCTGAAACCTTAGACCCTAAACTCAAGAACCCTCAACCTCAACCCTCAACCTTCAATCCTTGTGTGATTCAGGTGTTTTGTTGATTGAGGGTTGGGGCATTGGGGTTTGGGGCTCAGGGTTTAGGGTTGGGGACTTAATTAGGGTTTTGATCTGAGGGTTCGGGGTTGAGGGTTTGGGTATTAGGGTTCAGCGTCGAGATTTTGGGCTGGGGGTTTGGGGTACCCAGACCATAGTTTTTGGATTGACAGATTGGCGGATGATCCTTGCATACTGATTTACACGAGGTTGATCTTCCCAATTAGCAGACGCCTGCCAGTGTCATTTTTGTGTTGTGTAGGTTTTGAGAAGAGGGGGGGGGGGGGGGGGCTCCTAAACCCCTAAACCCAAAAACCCAAAAACCCAAAACCCTAAACAACCCTGAACCTTGAGGATTGAGGGTTCTGAGCCCTAAACCCTAAACCCTAAACCCTAAACCCCTAAACCCCTAAACCCTAAACAACCCTCAACCTTGAGGATTGAGGGTTTTGGGCTCTGGGGCATGGTGCAGACCTCTGTAGGACAAGAAGGACAAGGATCCCAAGGACAAGAAGGACAAGAAAGACAAGAAGGACCCCACACGCTCGGGTTTAGGGTTTAGGGTTTAGGGTTCAGGGTTCAGGGTTTAGGGTGAGTTGTGCGTTTTGGGGGTTTTGCTTAGGATGCAAGTTTTATGAACTACAGTGAGAAGCCAACGTTCTCTTAAACAAGCTGAAATAGCCCGACAGGTAAGGCACATTCCCTTATCGTACTCTGGGAACAGCTGTCAAAGCTATTTCAGATAAGAAGGGGAAGAGCCCTAAACCCCGAACCCTAGGCATAATTACCTTGGGGACGAAACGAACCCCAAAATTGTGGGCCGCATATCCTAAAGTGTTACTACTAACATTCTTATTCAGGCATATGAACCGTAAACCCGTTTGGGGTTCATTTGGTCCTCAAGGTAGCTGTAAACCCTAAACTCTTAACCCGAAAACCCTAAACCCTAAACCCTAAACCCCAAACCCTAGGCATAGTTGTAAAGCCAAGAAGGAGAAGAAGTTGGCAAAGCAACAGAAGCGGGAGGAGAAGTTGAAACGTAAGCGGCCTCTCGGCGAAGAATTCAGGGTACTCGTATAGGGTTCTTAAGGGAGGGGGGTTCATGGGAAGTAGGTACCTAGCCCGAATGGTCCATGTACCTCATTATTATGTACTTGGGCACTACTTAAAGTCCCTTAATAGGAGGTACTGTAAGGCCCAAGTATTCCCTATTTACTTAGGGTAGGAACCTTATACAAGCTTAGGGAGCCTCGGGGAGTAGTGGGGAGTACTAGGAAGACCTTGAGTTACATACCCCGCTTGAACCCTCCCTCCCTCTAGGACCTTTTTCATACTAGGGTGATGTTGACGTGGTGAAAAGGAAATAAGGTGTTAGGGGATGCCTCGGAATGCCTCCACAACATATGAAGCCCCTACCAACTTAGACCCTACCAACTTTGCAGGAAGAACCGCTCTTTAGCATTCTCCAAGCCCTACAAGAACCCCTGAGCTTAAAAGCCCAAAACTGAACCCTACACCCTAAACCCTGACTCGCAAGCCCTAAGCTGAGTGAGCTCAGGGCCATCGAGGGCCTCCAGGATACTATGCGGCTTTGTCAGTCCTCAGCCTTTGTGGGCCGACCAATCTACCCGAGCCTAAACCCTAAACCCTACACCCTACACCCTAAACCCTAAATCCCTAAACCCTAAAACCCGCAGCCAAGCCAAACCTCGTAAACGCTCAGCCTCGGCATTGAGGCCTGGGATTTTCCGTTGTCGGGGCTTTTCGGGGGAATCAGAGCTGGAGATCATATACGTGTCGGGCTTCGGGTCCAAGGCATTACCCTAAGGGTCCATGTACCTGATTATTAGTTCCTTGGGCCCTGAAGTCCCATATCGGAGGTGCTTTAAGCCCCAAGTGTCCCTACTTAGGTACATGGACCCGTAGGGTAATATCCCTAAACCCTAAACTTTAACCCTATACCCTATACCCTAAGACCAAGGCAACCCAGAAGACTACTGCAGTTTCTTTCTGGGGTCGTTTTTGGTTTTTCAGTCGCACCCTGAACCCCATAGAGCCCAAAAGTGTGAAACCTCTTTTCAATCAGTGCCCTATTACCCTAAACCCCAAACCCCAAACCCCAAACCCTAAACCCTAAACCCCAAACCCTAAACCCTAAACCCTAAACCCTAAACCCTAAACCCTAGACGTCTTTATAATATTATAGGGGGAGCTGAGGCTTGCAGAGCAGCGCATGAAGACGCAGAAGATAGGGCGGCGCCCAAGCCGCAGAGAAGCTTCTAGGGTTTAGGGTTTAGGGTCCCTAAACCCTAAACCCTAAACCCTAAACCCTAAACCCTAAACCCTAAACCCTAAACCCTAAGCCCTAAGCCCTAAGCCCTAAACCCTCATCAGCCTTGTGAGCTCTTATCCCAGATCCCTAAAACAGCCCAAAAAAACCACCCGAACCCACCCCAAGTACCCCAACCCCAACAAACACCAAGCCCCGAAACTCCCGAACCCCGCAGCTCCTATCTATATCCTAAACCCTATACCCTCAAATACCCTTTAGGGTTTAGGGTTTAGGGTTTAAGGTTTAGGGTTCAGAATCGCGGCAAAATCTAGGAGACTTAAGGAAGGACCCTCATAAGAGTGCGTTGGGGCTACTTAGATATAAAGGTAAGGTACGGATTGACCAGGGTAGTAATCCCGTGGGCTGGAGTTGTTTGAGTTGATATTCTTTAAGGATTTAGGGGTTTAGGGTTTAGGGTTTAAGGTTTAGGGTTTAGGTCCTTTTCGGATTGTGCGCTTTGGTCTGTCCGAACCAGCCCGCGAACTTGAGAAACTGATTCCTGGAGCCGAGGGGCCCTCAGGGCCTCAAGCCTTACTGCGTAAGCCCTGAGCCCTAAGCACATACCCTGAGAAAAAAAAAAAAAAAAAAAACGTCCGGAAAAGAGGATAATAGCGGATTACACCAGCAAGCTCAGTCCGCAGCATGATTTTTTGTTACTTGCGAAACCCTAAACCCTAAACCCTAAACCCCAAACCCTAAACCCTAAACCCTAAACCCCAAGCCCTAAACCCCAAACAAGGATAGGATCCAAGATGCTTGCAGCATCGTCCAAGAAGATCAAAAGATCGCAGTCTGCGCCGGAACTGAAGGTGGGCTCCTTGGGACTTCGGGTTCGGGGTTCAGGGTTCAGGGTTCAGGGTTTGGGGTTTAGGGTTTAGGGTTTAGGGTTTCGGGTTTAGGGTTTAGAGTTTAGGGGCTTAGGATCTCGAACGCAAAGCCCGGTACAGAACCTCATGTAAAGCGGCTGGAATCCGAACAAGCCGTGCTTCCTAAACCCGTACAACACCAAACCTCACAACCCCCCCGCCCCCCCACCCTAAACCCTAAACCCCTAAACCCCTAAACCCCTAAACCCCTACACCCCTAAACCCCTAAACCCCTACACCCCTAAACCCCTAAACCCCTCAACCCCTCAACCCCTCAACCCCTCAACCCCTCAACCCCTAAACTCCAAACCCCAAACCCCACCACTCACAAGAAGAAATAGGAGTTCAGGGGCGGGCCCTGGGTTTAGGGTTTAGAGCTTTCGTTAACCCTAAGGCTCTAAGGACTCTTATTTTACGGCTTTTGGGCCCAAAGGCCTTCTTATATAAGGTTTTTGGGCCAATTGTGAGCCTAAGGGAGAATGGTGACCCAATTTTTCGAGAACTGACCCTGAACTTTGACCCTCAACCCTAAGCGGCTGAGGCCCTCAACCCTAAACGTCCAGACCCATTCGGTTAAGAAGCCCTCTAAACCCTAAACGTTAACCCTAAACCCTAGCTCTAACCCCCACACTGCTGCAACCCTGAACCTCCAGACCCATTTGATGCCACGAAGAAGCCCTAAACACGAAACCCTAAACCCTAAACCCTAACACCCCCAACCCCCAGAACAACACCGCCCACAGGCCGGGGGTTTGCCAAGGATGTTGGGGCTTTGGCAGGGTTTAGGGTTTATAGGGTTTAGGGTTAAGGGTTTAGGGTTTAGGGTTTAGGGTTTAGGGTGTAGGGTTGTTGGGGTGATGTGGGAGACTCAAGGTCGGCTCACTAGCCTTTCAAAGGTCCTTATGAAGACTGAAGACGATTACGAGCCCGTCAACCGCTGGTGGGAAAGGGAGGACTGCGCCGGAACCCGAACCTTCAGGGTCCAGGTACCTGAACATGCTTGTGTTTAGGGTTTTAGGGTTTTACGGGCTCATAGTGTATGGTTTAGGGTTTAGGGTTTATACAAGGCAGGTGCATGGACCTTTAGGGTATTCCGAACCCTGAACCCTTCCATGTGTGAGAATTGTCCTTAGAGCTTACGGGGCTTTTAAGGGCACCACATTGCTCATAACAGATCATCTCCCAAGCGTACCTAGCCCCTAATCTCGAAACCCACACAGGCAGAAGCATGGTAGATGCGGATTGCGTCTGGAATTTCTTTCAATTTTTGGGCTTCTTGTATACCGCCGTTCCTTATAACCATCGGTTTAGGGTTTAGAGCCTAGGGTTCAAGAGGACGTCATTGTAGATCCCTGACCCTACACCCTAGAGCCGGAGCCTCAGGGTACCCTAAACGCTCTAAACCCTAAACCTTAAACCCGAAACCCAAAACCCTAAACCCGAAACCCAGTCCTGCCACTGAAACAATGTCTTGCTTTGGCCGGTAAGACAGAGCCCTCCTTGACTTGCTGGGCTCAGTGAGTTTGTAGCAAGAAAAGTTCAGCCTGTAGAGAGTAGCTGACGGAACACAGAAGAGGGCTGGACGTGGAAGTGACGAAAGCCTTCGTTTCCCTAAACCCCAAACCCTAAACCCTAAACCCTAAACCCTAAACCCTAAATGAAAACCCTAAAGCCCAAAAAGGCGAGTTCTCTCAATCTTCGTCCTTTCTTTGGGGGGGGGGGGGGGTACTGTCCCCTAACTATCCGGGGCCTCCCCGGATGGCCGCCTTGTAATAGTGACCCTTTTAGGGTTTAGGGTTTAGGGTTTAGGGTTTAGGGTTTAGGGTTTAGGGTTTAGGGTTTAGGGTTTAGGGTTTAGGGTTTAGGGTTTAGGGTTTAGGGTTTAGGGTTTAAATGGACCATACTTTGAGGAAGTGACCAAATCTTCTGTTTAGGGTTTGGGGGTTGGGTTAGTAGGTTCAGGGTTCAGGGTTCAGGGTTTAGGGTTTAGGGTTTAGGGTTTAGGGTTTAGGGTTTAGGGTTTAGGGTGTAGGGCGTAGGGTTTAGGGTTTAGGGTTTAGGGTTTAGGGGCCCTAAACCCCAAAACCCTAAAACCGAAACCCCGAGCCATAAGCCCTAAACCTGAAACCCTCAACCAAATGGCCTGCTTTTGAGAGGACGGAGCTGAGAGTGGCAAGAAGGGTGCCAAGAAGTGGGCCTCCTGGCACAAATGCAGGGCTGAGGGCCCTAAACCCTAAACCCTAAACCCTAAACCCTAAACCCTAAACCCAAAACCCTAAACCCTAAACCCTAAACCCTAAACCCTAAACCCTAAACCCTAAACCCTAAACCCTAAACCCGAATGAAACCCTAAGCCCTTAGGTAAGACTAAAGCAATGGAGACCTGGGAGGTCCCTGAGAGGCTGTCTTATATACTAACCCTAAACCCTAAAACCCTCAAGCCCTAAAACCCTAAAGCCCTAAAACCCTAAAACCCTAACACCCTGAACCCTAAACCCCCCCCTAAACCCTACTAAACCCTAAACTCTAAACCCTACACCCTAACCCCCCCCCCCCCCCCGCCCAAAAAAAAAACAACGCAAACCAAAGAGCGTTCAAACACCCGACGCATGGGTGCCACGAAGCTCAGGACACCTTCGAGCACCACGGGCTTCTGTTCGCGCCAGATTCTGGGCAGCAAGCTCCACCCTCCTTAGGTGTCATGTATGTAGAGTTTAGGGTTTTGGGTTTTTTGGGGGTTGGGGGGGGGGGGGGGGGGGGCTTTTAGGTTTAAGGGTTTTTGGGGATTGGGGTTTGGGGTTTTAGGAATGTCGGAAATTGGGCTTTGGGGCTTGGGGAAATTTAGCAAACTCCACCCTCCCCAGGTTTTAGGGTTTTTGGGTTTGGGGGGGGGGGGGGGGGGGTAATAGGGCTTCAGGGTTTTAGAGCTTTGGGTTCGGGGGCTTGTTTTGTTTTGTATGTTGCTCTTTGTGTTTTTTTTTGTTGGTGGGGTGTGTTGGTGGGTCGGGGTGTTTTGGGGTTTTGGGTGCTAGGATTTAGGGATTTCTTCGCTTGCTAGAACAAAGGAGCCGCTTGTTCAGGGGTCCATGGGGTCATTAGGGTGCCCAAACAAAGTGTGGGGTTCAGGGTTTCTAGAGGTTTAGGGTTTAGGATTAGGGTTTAGAGTTTAGGGTTTAGGGTTCAGGGTTTTGGGTTTAGAGTTCCGGGTTTCTAGGGGTTCATAGGGTTTAGCAAGGTTAAGCCCAAAACTGGGTTGAGTGGCGCACTTGGGTGAACTAATATACCTGAAACAACGGAACTAGATACCCAAGAGCTGTATAACTATAGGACCGGGAGTAGGGCTTTTTTTTGTTTTAGGGTTAGGGTTCCCTTATCATACCCTTAAAACCTAACAGGTCACTCTATTTTATTCCTAGGTTACTCCCGATCTAGATAAGATATGAAGCAGGGTTTATACTTCCGTTATTGGTGAGTGTACTTAAGGTTCCTTGTTAATATTGGTGAGTGTATATATTGGGTGTCCTATTGGGGGTACAAGAAATATAAACCCCACTTCATGTGCTTGAGCTGAGCTCGCCTGGAGGGTCACCCCCCCTCCAGGCAGCATTTGAAGCATCACATCAGCAGCTTAAGAGGGTTGTGACCTGGTGCCCCAAGCCCTAAGCCCTAAACCCTAAACCCTAAACCGTAAACCCTAAACCCTAAACCGTTGATCTCTTCCCACAAAGAGACCATGCAGATGTTTCTTGCACCCTCTGCCGGCATGGCGAACGACTACTCCTTGATGGCTCCTGCTGGCTGCCTTAGATCCAAGTCGCTCCCTCCGGACGCGTGGATGCTAAGCCAGGCCTTTACAGCTACCATCAGCCTGGAGTTGGAACCACTGTGCTTCCTAGCATCGCCCTTGTGTGTTGCAGGAATACCACCAAGTCGTGGAGTGGTCGCACAGGGGCACACGGCTCTTCTTCATGGCCACAGGATGGCGGAGGACGAAGCGACAGCCCCGACACTCTCAGAGCTCAGCGCGCAGTCGGTAGTGTAGCCGGTCTCCCCGCCTGCCCAACATCCTAAATCCTACAAACCCGTAAGCAAGCAATATCTATATCCCCCTTGGAAATTTTTTCTCTTTGTTTATATAAAACCCAAGAGGATATTAAACATATTTTTCATTAAGGTTCTACGGGGAGTATAGATAGCTTAACTCAGGGGCATGGTGTTCGGGTGTTTGGGTGTTTTGGTGTTGGGGCTTGAGTTTAGGGGACCCTAGACCCTAAACCCTCAACCCTAAACCCTCAACCCTAAACCCTAAACCCTGAGGGGCCTGGGGCGGATGACGAGCTCGAAGGTTTTGGGCACTGTCCAAAGCCCGGAAGCCTCGGAGGTTCCCAAAAGCAGAGCCCCCCAAAAATAGTACCTTATACTATTAGTTATGGTGGTTTCCGAGGTTAGGGGTACCTTTTCGGGGTCCCTATTTTTTGGGAATCCTACGATTTGGGGTTTATATTGGGGGTCCCCTAATTCCGGAAATCCTTCTATTGGATCATTCTTAGGCACCCTTCAGGGGATCTACTTTTGGGAACCTCCCAAAAGTCTGGGAAGCCCTGAAGCCCTGAACACCGGGGGCATTGTGCTGCCGGATTCAGGGTCTTTTTGGAGCATCTACGGCTCGCAAGTGGGATGTATGTAGAGGGTTAAAGGGGATTTCGTGTTCAGGGTTTAGGGACACCCTAAACCCTAAACCCTAAAACCTAAACCCTAAACCTTAAACCCTAAACCCCCAAAGCCATAGAACCCCCTCCTGCTAAGGTTTAGGGTTTCGGGTTTTGGGTTTAGGTTCTCCTACACCCCTTAAGCGGCACTGAAGGCCCCTATAGACATTCGTAGCAGTCTGGGCTCTACCATCACATCTTCATCACATGCGCCTCAACCCCCAACCCCCTGCAAACCCTCGACCCTGAAACCAAAAACCCTAAACCCTATCCCTAAGCCCTAGCCCTAAACCCTAAACCCGAAGCCCTAAATCCCAGGACTACGAACCTCACCGGGTGCCCCTGATCTACGATGGCGAGCGCATAGAGCTGCCACCAGAGGCCGAAGAGATCGCCTACTACTGGACCTCGGCCACCTGATGTTTATAGGGATTGTGTGGAGGGTTTAGTTTTTAGGGCTAGGGGTTAGGGTTTAGGGTTTTGGGTTAAGGGCTTAGGGTTTAGGAGTTAGGGTTTAGGGTCTTTGTGCATATTTTGTTACTCTGAGTTGACAGTGAGTAGTCGTCGCGAGTATTGGGAATGACTTACGCCCTCCTATTGGCTTCGCCGCTGGTGTATGGTTTACCTTTCTTAGGGTCAGTTTTTTTGCCTCAACGACCCAGCTCAAAAAAAAACACGTCTGTTTGTCCTAGCTGTTGATGCTTTGCTGGGGGGCAGGGGGAGTTGACTCTGTTGCAACTTCCCTAGCGACTACTTGAACTTATCTAGGGCTCGAACCGTCTTACTTGTTCTTCTCTGGGTGCTTGAGAAGCAACGTGGCTCCAGCAAGCCGCAAGCCTAAATGAAACCTCCATGCCACAAGCCCTAAAACCTAAACCCTAAACTCTAAACCCTAAACCCCAATGCCCCAAAACCTCAACGTCACCCCAAACCCCAGAGATCTTCAACCCTACACCGGGTTTCGGCTTCAGGGCATGCGCTTGGAGGAATGAGACCCTAAGGTGCATGATTTCGGCTATCAGGGTTAGGGTTTAGGGTTTAGGGTTTAGGGTTTAGGGTTTAGGGTTTAGGGTTTCACTAGGACTAAGATCTATATTCGGGTTGTTCTAGACGTGTATGTGAGCCTTGCGCATGTGGACCATGACTGAACACAACTCTCAGAAAGCTGAACTCAACAGAGCACCCAGCCCCAACACTGAGTTTAGGGTTTAGGGTTTGGGATTTCGAGTTTCGGGTTTTGGGTGAACCCAAACAAGCTAAGTCGCAATTGGGTCTGGTCACCGAGGTGAAGGGCACGCCCTACGAGACCAAGAACATCTTCATCAAGAGACATAGCTTATATTGGTTGGTGGTCTCTTTATTAGGCTTTAGGGTTTAGGGTTTAGGGTTTAGGGTTTAGGGTTTAGGGTTTAGGGTTTAGGGTTTAGGGGGCCTTTATAAGACACAGCTGAATCGGGCCTTTTGTCTTGATTCTCCTTCTCTGATGCGTGTAATTTTGCATCCATAGGATCACATGGTTAGTTCTCTTAAATCTGGCGTTTGTCTGGTTGCCTTGAAGAGAGATGACGTGCCACCTGATCTCAAGAGGGACACCCAGAAGGACTAAACCTTAAACTCCCCCTAAACCCTGAAATCCCGGATCCTGAACCACGAAGCCAAAAAAAGAAGACACGCCAAGCTGACAGATCCTAAGTAGGCCCTTGCGCAAAAGCCCTAAACGGGTTTAGGGTTTATGGTTCAGGGGTTTAGGGTTTAGGAGTTTCGGGTTTAGGGTTTAGGGTGTAGTGTTTAGTGTAGGGTTGAGGGTTCAGTGCTGACAAGCCTCCCAAGGAATTTCTGGAAGACGTTCAAGGATGTCCTGCCCAAAGGCTCCAAGATTAAGGAGCCAGGGCTGAAGTTGGAGGGCTGATTAGGGTTTCGGGCTAGGGTTTAGGGTTTAGGGCTAGGGTTTAGGGTTTAGGGAGTAGGTGTAGGGTTTAGGGTTTAGGGCCTCTTCGGGGCTCTCAGGGTGGGGCTCTTGGGGGGTTCAGGGCTTAGGGTTTGGCTCTCAGGGTTGAGAGTCTGAGGGTTTGGCGCTTGGGGCTTATTGGGCTGTAGAGGTTTAGGGTTTCATTCGGGTTTAGGGTTTAGGGTTTAGGGTTTAGGGTTTAGGCTTTAGGCTTTAGGGCTTTAGGGTGTTAGGGTTGAGGGTGGAGGTTTTGGGGGGCTCAGGGTTTAGGCGTGGGACCGGAGCGCGGTTCCCCCGCACCTCGGAATCGGCTGCGCCAGGACCTGGGAAATGGAAATGACCCCTAAACTCTACACTGTTAGCTGCAAACCCTGCCCCCTAAACTGGCCCTAAGCCCTAAACCTGTACCCTAAACCCTAAACCCTAGACCCTAAACCTAGATGGTCCTGAAGGAGCCCTCGATTTTGTGTTTAGGATTAGGCTGAACAGCCCTGATCGTTTTTCAAGATCTGTGCATCACAAAGGGTTTAGGGTTTAGGGTTTTGGGCTTAGGGTTTGGGGTTTAGGGTTTAGGGTTTGGGGTTTAGGGTTTGGGGTTTTGGGTTTAGGGTTAGAGGGTTTAGGGTCTAGGGTTTAGGGTTTAGGGTTTAGGGTTTAGGGTTTAGGGCTAGCCTTTCACAGGGGAGATCTGGGTTTCTGGCCCGGGGTCCTGAGATGCGCCAGGAGTTCCACAAGTGCGACTTCTCGCTCATGGCGGTGCTGTGGCTTCAGCTCCCCAGAAGGTTACCCTAAGCCCTAAACCCTAAACCCTAAACCCTAAACCCTAAACCCTAAACCCTAAAACCCTAAACCCTAAACCCTAGACCCCAAACCCTAAGCTCCTACAAGGGGCCCAATGCTGCTACTCCTCCCACCAGAAGCGACATAAACCCTGAAACCCTCACAACCCCGAAGCCCTGAAACCCTAGCCCTAAACCCCAAAATCCATGATCCCTCTTGGCCAGAGAACTTAAACCCTAAAACCTAAACCCGAAGCCCCAGACCCGGTTGGAATCCGCAGAGTATCGTTGAACCGTAAACCCCGAACCCTATAGCCCCCACACCTTCCTTTAGGGTTCCAATCCTCCCAAGAGCCTAAACCCTAAACCCTAAACCCTAAACCCTAAACCCTAAACCCTAAACCCTAAACCCTAAACCCTAAACCCTAACAAGCCCTAAACCCTAAACCCCCCCCCCGAGCTGCCAAAAGGACTATCGGGAGGCGGAGAGGCAAAAGCGCCTCAACCGGTCGAAGGAGGAGAAGGACTGTGGCGTAAACCCTGAAACCCTAAACCCCCCTCACTTTAATTTGTGTGCAACCTAGTCGGGTTTAGGGTTTCGGGTTTAGGGTTCCGGGTTTCGGGTTTAGGGTTTAGGGTTGAAGGACAAGAGAGCAAGATATTTTCCCATGTTCTGCAGGGCCTACCACCTGCGCCCTAAGGAGGTCACACTATGTGAGAGTTGCTCTTAGGGGTCCTGTAAAGGCTAGCTGCCCTAAACCCTAAACCCTAAACCCAAAACCCTTAATGTTTAGGGTTGGCAAACCTTGCCAGAAAGGGAACCTGCCTTATGGCTGTTTTTGGGAGCAGGCAGTTGGAACCACTCTTTCGGTTCAGGATTTAGGTTTAGGGCTTAGTGTTTAGGGTTTAGAGGCAAATGCCTGTTGTGTGTTTAAGTCAAAGTACGACTGTTCACCTCTCTGAACCCTAACCCACAAACCTTAAACCCTTGTCGGGGCACCTTAGGTATGAAGAGGTCTGCCACCAACAGACAACGGGACTCTACCTCGAGCCCCTGAGGTGGTATGCTTGGGTTTGTGGACACTTTCTAAAGATTTTCCAGGGTAATACAAGGGCCATCTTCGGGGGTATATTAGAGATGCAACCTAAACTCCAAACCCTAAACCTTTAAAACGTCCCGAAGCCCTAAACCCTAAACCTTGGGGGTACGAGTCCTAACACCCTTGAAAGTAGAACCTGAATGAGCTGAGAGCTTATCATCTATGGCGCGCTCTGCGGGATGAGCAGACCCTATGGTGGGCCCTAAACCCGAAACTAAACCCTAAACCCTAAACGCTGAACCCTAAACCCCAAACCCTAAACCTAAACCCTGGACGTGTGGTGTTGGGTCCGAGGCCTCAGGGTCTAAGGCCCAAGATCGACGTAGCGCTGTCAGGAGGCCGAGAAGGCCAAGAACGCGAAGGAGACGGAATGGTCTTTTGCCAGTCAGGTAAACCCTAAACCCTAAACCCTAAACCCTAAACCCTAAGCCCTAGGCCCTAAACCCTAAACCCTAAACCCTAAACCCTAAACCCTAAACCCTAAACCCTAAACCCTAAACCCTAAACCCTAAACCCTAGACCTTGCTTTGGGCTGTGGCGGTCTGGGAGCTTCCGGTTTTTGGGGGGCTCGAGGTTTCAAGCACCTCACAGCGGACATCTAACCCTAATTCCAAACCCAAAGCCCTAAATCCTCACCCTCGTAAAGCCCAATTCTCACGTACCTAAACATGGGATGCCTTTGCTTTTTCTTCAAGTTCCTAGCTATTGTTACGACTGTACGGCCCAAGAAAGTATGGTGAGGTGCATGAAATGGTCGGGAAACCCTGTATCCTGCAGCTAGAAACTCAAGACTGCCTCAATGGATGATCGAGGTAAGGGTTTAGGGTTTCGGGTATTCTTAGAGCTGGAAGTGTTTCCTGTTTTGGACCCTAAGCCCCAAAGCCTAACTCGCACTCAAGTGGAAGGAAGAGGGGGGAGGGGAGGGGGAAGGGGGGAGGCGGGAGGAGGGGGTCCAAACCCGATAGGATTCTCGGGTTGGGGGGGGGGGGGGTGGCCTGAGTCAGGATTGAAAATTTAAAAGGTTTAGGCTATAGGGGCTTCTGCATGGCCAGGGTTCATATTACTGTTTTTTGGTGAGTGTTTTCTCGGGTTTCTTTGGTGAGTGTAAAGTGGGTGTTGATTTGACGATACTCAGAACATAAACCCTTCCAAACCCTAAACCCTAAACCCTAAACCCTAAACCCTAAACCCTAAACCCTTCTAGCTCTTAAGTGTGTTCTGCAGATACGTTTTAAAATGCTTTTTGAAGTGGGCGAACCTCACCATCCTGTTCAGGACTTCCTGGTTGAGGGTTGTTAGGGTCTAGGGTTTAGGGTGTAGGGTTCAGGGTTCAGCGTTTAGGGTTTAGGGTTTAGGGTTTAGGGTTAAAGACTTCCCAGCACAGCAGGCAAAACTTGTGTTTGAATCCCCCCCAAAAAAACAGAAAGTGCTGCCCCAAAACGGGACCCCAACTTAAAACCAGCCAACCACTGAGCCTAGAAACGCAAAGCCCAGGTACAGCTTTGCCATCGTCAATGGTGTGCGCGAGAAGTTGGGCAACTACAAGATGGAACCGACCCTTGGCACCCTAAACCCTAAACCCTAAACCCCAAACCCCAAACCCCTAAACCCTAAACCCTAAGAGTTTGGGGGGCGGGGGGTTGGGGGGGGGGGGGGGGGGGGGGGGGGGGGGGATGCTTTAATCGTGGGACTCTACCTGGGACCTTTAAGGTTGTACCCTTGAGTTGAGACACTGTTTCAAGATCCTCTAAGGGAATTCTATGAAGTAGGGTTTATATTTCTGTTATTGGTGAGCGTATGTAAGGTTCCCTTTTAATAGTGGTGAGTGTAAATACCTGGTGTCCTTATGGGGGTACAAGAAATATATACCCTGCTTCATATGAGGCCATATCAGGGGTATATTAAGGGGAACCTTCAGGGGTACATTCCTAGGGGTGGGAGCATGACTCGCTTGATTGAAGCGGGCGGAGGGCTTGGGGTTTGGGTGTTACTTGTTTTACACGCACGTGTAGGCTGATATTTTTTACACACGTGTAAAACAAAGAAAGGTCCCAACACGTTAGTGGTGTAAAGCAAGTCTCAGGCTTGGTTTTGGGGAAAGGCCCCTTAGTTTCTAAGATAAGAACCCCCTCCCCCCCCCCCCCTTGTTGGCTCCTGGGGCAAGATCCGTTTAGGGTTTAGGGTTCAGGGTTTAGGGTTTAGGGTTTAGGAAATGGAAACCCCAAATCCCGAAACCCTCAACACTAAATCAAAGGGGAAGGAGAAGAGCAAGAAGAAGAAGAAGAAGAACAATCATAACAATAACAAGAAGAAGAACAGGAAGAAGCGCAAGAGGAGGAAGAAGAAGACGAAGAACAATAAACATCACCGCCACAAGATCAACAAGAAGAAGAAGAAGAATAATAAGAAGGATGAGAAGGAGAAGAAGAAGACGCAGACACCCTGCCTGCAGATCCCCCCCCCCCCCCCCAAGCCCTATAGGCCCTATGACCCTAAGCTTGCCCCCGAATCTCTGAACTCTTGGCCGAAAGCCTATAAACCCTAGAGTTTAGGGTTTGGGGTTTGGGGTTTGGGGTTTGGGGGGCCCCTCCGGCCCCTCCAGCCCGTAACACTCCCTTGCCCACAAAGCCCCAAACCCCTAAACCCCTGAAGCACTAAACCCCGAAGACATCAAACCCTGAGCCCCAAACCCTGAACCCTGAACCCTAAACCCTAAACCCTAAACCATAAACCCTAAACCGCATAAACCACTACCCCCCCCCCCCCCCCCCCAAAAGAAGGGGTGTATGCACATCCAAGGCCTCAGCTCTTCCGCGGCCGCGGCGAGCACCCGAAGCAAGGCCTGGCACGGAAAGTTTAGGGTCTGGGGTCTAGGGTTTAGGGTTTAGGGTTTAGGGTTTAGGGTTTAGGGTCTAGGGTCTAGGGTTTAGGGTTTAGGTTTTAGGGTTTAGGGTTTAGGGTTCAGGGTCTAGGGTTGATCTAACTCCGGGATCCTTTGTCAAGTGTCTCTGTTAGAGCATGATTCCTAAGTTTAGAATATCTGAAAGGGCCCATAGTTTAGATAAATCTTCAGCTGCCAACTCCATTGAACCCGAGAAGAAAGCCGAAAAACCTTGACACACAAAGCCCCTTGCAAACCCTGTAAGCCCTCTAGACCCTCCTCTAACCCGTGTATAAACAAGAAAGCCGAAGCCCTAAGCCCTAAAACGCTAGAACTTAAACCCTAGACCCTAAACCCGGAACCAAAACCCTAAACCCTAAGCCACAAAGCAGCCCTGCGGGCGCTCAAGCTCCGAGGGCTGTTGAAGAAGCGCGCATTCCCAGAGAGCGTCACGCTGAACATCGGCGAGACAGCTTGCGTGCCCAAGGCAGACGTGGGGGTTTGGGGTTTAGGGTTTAGGGTTTAGGGTTTAGGGGTTAGGGTTTAGGGTTTAGGGTTTTAGGGTTTAGGGTTTAGGGGTCTGTCAGTTCAGCATGCATCGACTCCCAGATCAGGGGTTCCGGTTCTGGGGTTTGAAAGGGGTGGGTTCAAGTTGAGGCTTACCCGCACATTGTATATCCCCCCCTCTAGGTTCTCCCCCATAGTTAATCCCGTTTAGGGATAATTAAGCTTAATTAGGGTGATTTAATGGGAACGTAAGGGGGGGGGGGGGGGGTAGTATAGAGGGGACCCATGATGGGCGTTTAAGGGTGTTTTGGTTGTAGGCAAGCGCCCCATACCCCGCAAAACCCAGTCATGAGCAGGCTTCAATCTCTCCACTGTGTAAGGATTACAGGGTTTAGGGTTTGGGTGTGCGGCGTATCTAAGGGTACCCTAAGCCCTAAACCCTAAACCCTACACCCTAAACTCTAAACCCCAATTATATGGGCCCTTGGTATGCAAGGGGTCCCTTTTAAGGGCCCATACTAAGGGTCCATGTGACTAACCCTAAACCCTAAACCCTAAACCCTGAACCCCTAAACCCAAACCCTAACCCCTAAAGCCCTAAACCCTAAACCCCTAAACCCCTAAACCCTAGACCCTAAACCCCAAACCCCTTTAGATCTGTTTTTTTCTTACACCCTAAGCCCTAACCCCCTTCTGACTTAGTTGCTCGTTTGTTTTTGTTTGCCTTACCACAGGGCTCAGAAACACAAAGAAAACCTACATTAGGGTCTAAAGTCTGTAAATAATAAATACTTGGGCTATTTGGGGCCTTAGGTTTATAGTGTTGAGTCAGCTCACCCTACACCCTAAACCCTAAACCCTAAGCCCCAAAGCCCCAAACCCACAACCCCAAACCCTAAACCCATTTTTTTTGTTTGCCTTATGGTGTTGAGTCAGCTTAAACGCCGGCAGTGCAGGATTTCATCGTTTCCTCGGTGGTTTGGACTCTAAGTGGCCTAGGCACCTTCGTGGATCTGGTGGCGTGGGTTTAGGGTTTAGGGTTTAGGGTTTAGGGTTTAGGGTTAAGTCTTAGGGTTTAGGGTTGAGGGTCAAACCCTAACCCCTGTGCCCTGGTGCTCTTGAAGGTCATTGGAATGCCTGGCCATGCCTGGCGGGATGTGGTGCACGAGAACACCGTGCAGTGGCAGCTTGGCACTGCGAGGGCTTTGTTGAGGCCCTAAACCCTAAACCCTAAACCCTAAACCCTAAACCCTAAACCCTAAACCCTAAACCCTAAACCCTAGTTGGTTGTCGAAGCAGGCCCCTAGACTCAAGTAGGCATTATGTAGCCCAGTGTCGCGCAACGAGCTCCGGCCACTTCACTTGGACAGACTTCCGCCCTAAGCCCTAAACCCTAAACCCTAAACCCTAAAACCCTAAACACCTAAACCCCTAAACCCTAAACCCGGGGGCGGCTTGGCGAAACACCCAGTGGTCATAAGCAGCTTGGAGATGCTGGCCAGGAAGATCTCAGGCACCCCTCCTCAACTTATCGTATGTTTCCTGCCTCACTGGACTTCGACATCGCTGGTCGTGTCGAAATGCTGGAGGAGGCCATCGAGGTCGTCAACTGCGAGGCAGCAGAGCACGTCGGAAAAGTTTTGGAAGCTTGCCGGAGCCTTCTTCAGATGCTTGCCGCGTACTTTTCTAGGGTCTAGGGTTTATAGGGATTACCGCCACTCCCAGCTCTTCAAGTTAGCCAGGGGCACTATCCAACCCCTCCCTCCAAAACAACGAAGATTCAAATATTTTTGCATATAAATAATATATACATATATATGTATATATATATATACATATATATACCTGTCTTTACTTATTTATACTTATTTATTTATTAAACAAGTTCATATATATATATATATATAATATCTATCTATCTATCTATATCTATATAGTTGGCCGATTATTACTAATGTGTAGCAGACAAATTGAGGACCCTAAGCCAGAGAGATTACAAGCTCCACAGCTGGGAGTGCCTGAGCCTGATGATATTAAGGCTGCGGTTTTAGGGTCGAGAGCTTCAGGGATAGGTTGTGTGTGTGTGTGTGACTCCACACCGCCTGAAGTCCAGACCTTTTAAGCTCCTAAGGCCTTCACTTCATATTAAACCCTCTTTTAGCTTCAGCTGCTAGATAAACTTTATTGCGCGCCACGCCTCCCTTCAGACCTAAAGGTCCACGTTTTCGTCCCCTGGTTTGGGGTTTATAGGCTTTAGGGTTTAGGGTTTAGGGTCTAAGGAAGTTTAGGGTTGAGGGTTTAGGGTTTAGGAAGTAGTGTAGGCTCCCTTCTCAGCGGCTTTGAATATTTTTTGGGGGGAAGGGATTAGGAGCTTAACCAAACATGGTATGCGCGAAGCCGTGCATACATTGGGTACCTTCTGTTGTTGACTCCTAGATGCTGGGGAAGCCACGCAACCCTAAATACAACCCTAAGCCCTGAGGCCTGAAACCTGAACTACAGCACCCTAAGCCCAAAAAGCCTAAACCCTCCCCCACTCCCCCACCCGCTCCCAGCCGATGGCCTCACAAGCTACAAAGCCTTAAAGCTCTGAGCCTGACCCGAAACCTGAAACCCTAAACCCTAAACTCTAAACCCTAAACCCTATACGGGGGCAACCGAAAGGGAACAGGAAAAGAAACCAACCCTCAACAGTCGCCTATATGGATTTCCCAGATCGAACCAGAAACAAGAACACCCACCCCTACGGGGACAGGATAAGGGAGAAGGGACGGGACTACTCCAGCCCGTTAAACCCAACCCCAGACGTACGTACTTTTTCAACAAAAGCTGACGGCTCTTGGCCATCTTGAGCCATACAAGATTTCCGGGTTCATTGACCCTTCCAACCCCCAACACTAACTCCTTTCTACAATACCAGTTGCAGCTCCGCACTCCCCCTGTCCTAGGATTTCCTAGGATAGGACACATTGGAGGTGCAGATCTTTTGGCCAAAAACTGCCCTTAAGGCAGCAGCCAGCTGCTTGAAATGCACAATATGGTTTTACGTCATCCAGGACGAAATTATAGCACATTGGCTAAACCCACTAACCACAGAGAATCTTTTTCCACCATGATCCTCTTATCATTGAAGACTCTTCGGCCTTCTTCACCACAAACCGTGGTCTTCGCTACGCGAAAAACTACTGACTTCTACTATCAGGGATTTCCATACCCTTAATAGTAACCACCACATTGTCAGCACATTGGCTGTTCCAGCGCACCTGTCTCCAGAAAGAGAAAAACCATCCCTTCATCCATACCATCCAATCACTTCTTTTTCCGATTGTTGGCAATTTTGAGGTGAAGTTGCAGCAGAATATACTCCAGGTCCGAAACTGTAAGAACAGGATCCTGCACGCACCTTTGAATTGAGGATACCAATCCCTCTCTCTTTGCGTCCTCAATCGCTTGGCAAGATTGACCCAGCTCCGCATTCACAGTGGTAGACGCTGGTGCATCCGCATCAGATGGACGATCCTTTTCCTCAGGACCTTGCACCATTACCACCTCTTCCTTTTTGGGACTTTGACTTTTCTCCTTCTTCTTTGTCTTTCCACCGACATTTGACTTTGTGCGCATTTTCGAGGCTTTTTCCACTGCAGAGACCACCACATTGGATGATGATCCACCCTTCTCAATGATCGCCGGCATCTTCTTCGGCTTTGGAACCATGAGAGTGTAAGGATCTTCGATAGCTGCAGCTTTCCTCTTCTTTTTTACCTTTTTCATCTCCTCCTCAACAGCAACCTCCGTCTCCGAAGTTTCAACCACTTCTTTTTCTGCAGGAATATCCTTGCTGGACTCCCTTTCTAGGGACCTTTTTTTGCCTCTTTTGGAATCTTTCTCTTCTCCCAAATTGGCTCGCTCGTACCATATCCTCAGGTCATTGACCCATTCTTCCACCTCCGCGAGCGAAACATCATACGACTTCACTACTTCGTGAAGTTCCAGCACGGACAACATACCATTGGTCCACGAAACCCATTCTTGATCCATTTGGTCAGTATCTCCAGTGAACTTCAGGAGTTTGAACAATGGGTCCGCCTCTGCTCGAGCCAAATCTGGCTGGCCCTTGGACAGAAATGAAATCGCCTCCATCAACAGTTCCGTCATTTTGGTATCATCGTCATAAACCATAAAATCCTCCTCACCATCATCGAACTGTTCAGGAGAGATCTCCTTTTCTCCACCATTTGCACCAGAACTTCTCCTTGGACCATCCCTTGGGGGCGTCCTTGGAGACCTTGGCCTCTGTTCATCCAGCGGAACACCGTGCTCGAAGACACACCTGTCACCATAACGACACTTCCCAGACCGAGCAAACTGGATGCACCTCACACCAGTTGCATCATGCGAGAACGCACAATCCTTTCCAGCGAAACAGTCTCTCCCTGCCACATAGTATTTGCACCAATACGAATGTAGCACCACATCATCTTCTGAATGGATGAATTTGCAGTCTTCACCAAATTTGCAGCGATCTTTCCCCTTGCTGAACCAATAGCAGAAGCCTTTCTTCCTCTTCTCCAAGCGCTCTGCCTCGTACCGGTCCATAGGGCGATTCTGCTCTACATGAACATTGCCATGTACCTGGGAACTGCTCCCTTCACCCAAAGTGCTATCAGTATTTGATGCTTGGAGTACAGCTGGAAAACCTGGCCTTGGTCCTACCACCTTCATGATTGGTTTTCCGCCAGCTCCTGAGCCATGCTGAGACGATCCAAAAACATTGAACATCTTCGTGAAGGCCTTTCTAGTGCCAATCTTCTGCACCCTTTTGATTGGACGTTTCATTGCTCCAACCTTGCATCCAGATGCGTTCAAACGACACAACCTCCTATACCCAGCTCTATATCCCTTCTTCCAAAGAGCCATAAGAATTTTAGAGGCAGTAACATTCTCCACCTCTACCTTTTCCAACGGTCCCTCACTTCCCGGAACAAACCCATCCAACCCATCCATATCTGAAGACCTTTCCATCTTTTTTGACACCACTTCGTCGAGGTAGTCTTCCGAGATCCAGGGTAAGTTCCTCTTAGAGGAAGGATTGTCATCATTGTTTGGTCCTTCACCAGGATACCCTTTTGTGCTGTCAAAGATCTTACCAGTAGTGCGGTCCTGCATAGAGAAATTAGAAGCCACGCGGGAGTACACTGACCACAAGAAAATCCTTGTGTCCGCCAGTCTTGATGACCCACTGGATGTCTCCTCTTCCGGAGAAACTTCTGGCGCTTTGCCATCCCTTCCAGTGTCACCAATTGTCTCACCTCCAGCATCTTCAATGGGGATAAGGGATTCATTGTTCCCTTGATCAAGTACCGCATCCTCCGGTCCAAGAACTTCCAGCACCGCTGTCGAAGGATCCACTTCTTCATCAGCATCGTCGTCCATCCTTCTCCAGAGAACCTCCAATTGATCAGCGCAAGTCGCCGCCTGAAGGAACTCCATCAACTGGGCCCTCCCGCGCTGCCAGAGAAACTCCAAGAACATCACTGACCCTTGAGCTCCTAGGGTAAGGAAAGGATGAACCAATTTGGCTACCCTCGCCATAAGTTCAATGTGAACTTCCATGCCTGGACTGCGACTCCAATCATAGGCAATTGCCTCCATAGCAGTTCCAAACTTATCAGTATTTTTGAATTCCCCTTCCAGACCAGGAGATAGCAATGCACCCATCACCGAAAGAGGATAATTTCCCACCGCCGGCAAGCACGGATTGTCATGGAACGAATGATGCAGATCACAATAGTATCCTTGATCTCTCCTTTGAAAAAGGAGTGCTCCAGTCCCTAGCTGGGCATTCATTTCATCCACTTGAACCATTTCAGCACATATCCTCTGTGCCATAGCCGCCATTGCTGGCCAGACGGTACGATCGGTCAGACCGCGACGCATAACCCAATCAGTTGTTGGCGACTGAATCAGCGTTCCTGGATCATACACCATAACCACCATCGCACCATCACCCATTGACTGATCAGCATCGTCCTCCAGTGCCAGGTTCTCATCCTGTTCGCTTGCGCCCTCGGATGACATGCTAATAACCAAATTTCGATCCATCTTATTGGACCCCTTCTGGCAGTCTCTTTGCCCCACAGGCAACTTGCCAACAGCAACCTTCCAATAAATCCGAGTCAGAAGACCTTTAACCAGCAATTGCTGAAGGTCCTTCTTCACCGGACAAACATCCAATATCTTCGCACCATCACCACGGAGTTCATTGCTCCCACCTTCTCCTTCTTTTTGGTCAGTCTCCTCGCCAGAAATTTGCACTGCTCCTTCCAGCGCCGTCTCCTGTCCAGCCACTTCTTGCCCAGAAAGAACTTGAGCGCTTTCAGATACATTCACCTGTCCAGCAACACCTTGCCCAGGTAAAACCTCATCCGTGGAGCCCACCGCCAGCGAACCAACTATAACTGAGCCATCCCTTGCTCTTTTTTGAGACTGTTCAGTTCGACGAGAAGGTAAGTCACTTCTTGGCGGGTCTCCCCCCGCGACGCTTTGTCGCGCCCTTCGCCAAGGTGAACCGATTTTTTCTGCCCGTCATTGGGGCCTGCGTTGCGCGGCATTGGTCTCCTCCTCGCTTGAATCGCTTGAGGAAGCGGCATAAGAGACCAAAGCCTCCGCCTGTTCATCATCATCCACCACATCTGCC